TCTCCTCTTCCTTCTTCTCCTCCTTCTTCTGCTCTGCCTCCATTTCTTCTCCTCCTCCGTTTCTCCTCCTCCTCCTCCTCCTTCTCCTCCTCCTTCTCCTCCTCTTCCATTTCTTCTCTTTCTCCTCCTCCTCCATTTCTCCTCTTCCTTCTCCTCCTCCTCCTTCTCCTCCTCCTCCATTTCTTCTCTTTCTCCATTTCTCCCTCCTTCTCCTCCTCTTCCATTTCTTCTCCTCCATTTTTCCTCCTTCTCCTTCTCCTTCTCCTCTTCCATTTTTCCCCTTTCTCCATTTCTCCTCCTCCTCCTTCTTCTCCTCTTCCATTTCTCCTCCTCCTCCATTTCTTCTCCTCTCCTCCTTCTCCTCCCTTGACTTATGACAGCTGGTTTGCTGGAGGTTTTTTAAGAAGAGCCTGGACAGTCTGAAATGGTATATAGGGTCACCTGCTTGAGCAGGGGGCTAGACTAGAAGACCTCCAAGGTCCCTCATTTCGTGGCCCTTCGAAGTTAGAATGGCACTGAAAGAAAGTGACGCATGACTGTTTCTCACACCTTTCCACACTTTCCTCACAGCACCTGGTCATGTAATCCGCACGGTCACGACGTGGTGAAAAACCAGACGCTCGGCAGCTGACTCGTACTTACGACAGTCACAGCATCCCGGAGGTCACGCGATTCCCCTTTGGCGACCTTCTGACCAGCAAAGTCCAATGAGGAAGCCAGATTCGCTTAACGACTGGGTTACTAGCTTGACAGCAGCAATGATTCACTTAACGACGATGGGCAAGAAAGGTCGTCAAACGGGGCCAACAACTGCGGTGATTCCTGTGACAAGCTGCCCTCGGAAGTTGATGGAGCTTCATCATCCCTTGAGACTTTCAAGAAGAGACTGGACTGCCCTTTGTCAGAAATGGTGTAGGGTCTCCTGCATGGGCGGGTGGGGGGGTTGGTCTAGATGACCTCCAAGGTCCCTTCCAACTCTGATTATCTGTTATATAACTGTCTAGAATTGTAGGGACTGACATAAATAATAAATAATGGATTTTCCCTGAACTGGAACATGATGCAGGAGGCGTCTCCTCAGCCCATTTCAACATTGCGATACGTCCTCTCTCACCCGAAGGTTCTACTCTACCTGTGCAGGTGAGTCACCTGTGGCCAGGTAGGGAACAGGCTGCATTCCCGAAGGGAGGCATCAACCTTAAAACGACGAGTCAATTGCTGTAAATTCGACCAGTTCAGCGTACATTTCTGCGACAAGTTGCCTTCGTGCAAAGCTAGGAAGCCAAACCCGCCCCCCTCCAAATACTTGGAAAAATAATGCTTAAAAATGCTCTCCTTGGTATTAATAATAACAAGGGGGGGGGAGAGGATGTGACCCAGATGTGCTGGCAGAGGGAGGGGGACTTTCCGTGAAATGGCCAAGTGAAACCACCAGGGGGCGCTGGAAAGGCGCTTGGTTTAAAAGGCAGGGCAGATGTTGGGAGCTTCACTCCCAGTTCTGAACCCGGCCGTGAGCTCTGGAGAAACTTCTGGATTACCAAAGACCCAGAGGACGCCAGAAGAAGAAGAAGGAGGAGGAGGAGAAGGAGAAGAAGAAGAAGAAGAAGAAGAAGAGCCTCCTTTGCCAGCACAGTCTCTCCGCTTTGAAGAACCGAGCCGGGTTTGCTCCACGCTCCTCCTCCAGCACCATCCATCTCTCTCTCTCTCTCTCTCTCAGTCCAGCTGTGCATCGTTGCATTGTTGAAGCAGGATGGCTAATGGAGGCCTCCAGATGTTGGGCTTTGTCCTGGCTTTCATCGGCTGGATTGGCATCGTGGTCAGCACGGCCATGCCCCAGTGGAAGATCTCCTCCTATGCGGGGGACAATATTGTGACTGCCCAAGCCATCTATGAAGGCCTCTGGATGTCCTGCGTCATGCAGAGCACGGGGCAGATGCAATGCAAGGTGTATGACTCCCTTCTCAAGTTGCAAGGTAAGTGTCTCTCGGGACATCTTTTTATTTCGTTTTTAATTTTTACAACAAATAACAACGAATAAAAACTACCTTTCAATTATACAGTGTGTCATCCAGGTACATATATATTGCGCACATAATAATATTTGTATGCCTTTAAGTTTACAGCCATATTGTATTCCAGTCAGCGTTAGATATCATGGTGTATCAATATTACACCGTCGTTAAATTTTTAGTTCAATTTCAAACTATTCTTAAAAGCAAATCCCAACGTTCACTAAATTATATCCCTGCTGGAAGTGAGGTTTGTGAAGTTGGATGGACTGCGCGAACGGGGAACGTCGTGAGAACCAAAACATCTTTGTATGAGTGAATTTGCACTTATTTGTTTGTTCGGCCGCTGCAGATGATAGAAACTCTGGACGTATGGTTTGTGAAGCCTGATGCACGGTTCTGCACATTGTGTGAACGTAGAAGGAGCTTTTTGTTTTGCTGTGCGAGATATTATTTTGCATTCAGTGGGCAGGGATCCCAAAACACACATCAGAGAGGTGCTTTCTTGTTATATCTTGTTATATCTGTTATACATGCAAGACGTGGGAAACAAGACATGGTTATAAAGAAAGACACTGTGTGCTTATGAGTTTCTATGAATCTCTAAGGAAAGTCTCAATCATCCAGGACATAGTTGGCCCAAAGCTGTTTTTTTTCCCCAAAAAGCCAAATGGAGTTTCTTAGTTTTTTTCTTTTCTTGTTTTGAAAACATTTCTCTTCGCATCCAAGAAGTTTCTTTAGTTCTTCAGACCGTCTGGGTACAGAACTAAAGAAACTTCTCGTATGAGAAGAGAAACATTTTCAAGGAATAATCCAAGAAACTCCAATTGCTTTTTCAGGGGGCGGCGGAAAAAAGCACCTTTTGGGTTATGAAGTGATTCCCAAGAGTTTGAACTTCTGCCTGACAGCCTCTTTTGCGTTAAGCGGACCTTACTTCAAATCCGCGAAGGTGGCAGCGGGCAGGGTTAGCTACAGACGCGGAACCAATCAATATAAATCAATAACTTTTTTTTTAAAAAAAGAAGGCGGCCGGATAGGGTGAGCAGGGAGAAAGGCTTGGATAAACTTTACTCGGAAAGGGAGGTCGTGAACTGGAATTTGAAATTCGGACGCTCGATTTGGAGACTCGAACAAAAAAAACCCCAAACTGAACAAGGAAATTCGACCTTTTTTTCCCCCCGCCCACAAGGGACTAGGTGAGAGTTTGATGCTGCCTGGTTGGTGTTGGATCAAACAGCGCATTTGTGATTCGGTCCTACGTGTTATTTTAATTATTTTAATTTTTAAATACTCTGTGGTGTGATTGTGATGTGGTGTTTGGGGCGCTGTGCTGGAGTAGCTTTCAAATTTCATTGTATTCGTGGAATGCAGTGACAATAAAGATATTCTATTCTATTCTATTCTCCAATATCTATTCTATTCTATTCTATTCTATTCTATTCTATTCTATTCTATTCTCCAATATCTATTCTGTTCTATTCTATTCTATTCTATTCTATTCTGTTCTATTCTAAGAGGGTGAGGAGGAAAGCACAATTGTGATCTTGGCTTATGGTGGGGGCAGCTGATAAGTTGCTCCCCAAAAAGGAACAGAGAAGAATAGTTTTTCGCTCTTGGAGTTCAAATGAGCCCCATCTTGGCAATTCTGAGATGCGTCGAGTGGTGGGTAGGGAATTCTGGGAATCGAAGGTCACACCTTAAAACTATTGTTTTATTTGTGTATTGTCTTTATTATTGTTTTTTTTTTTGAAAATGACTCTTGGAGGCAACACATTAACACACCTTCTTCCTCCTATTTTCCCCATACCAACAACCCTGTGAGGAGGGCTGGGATAAGAAAGAGAGGGGCTGGTCCCAAATCATCCAATCAGCTTTCATGCCTAAGGCGGAACTAGAACTCACAGCCTCCTGGTGATTGGCCCAAAGTCACCCAATTGGCTTTCATGCCTAAGGCGGAACTAGAACTCACAGCCTCCTGGTGATTGGCCCAAAGTCACCCAATTGGCTTTCATGCCTAAGGCAGGACTAGAACTCACAGCCTCCTGGTGATTGGCCCAAAGTCACCCAATTGGCTTTCATGCCTAAGGCGGAACTAGAACTCACAGCCTCCTGGTGATTGGCCCAAAGTCACCCAATTGGCTTTCATGCCTAAGGCAGGACTAGAACTCACAGCCTCCTGGTGATTGGCCCAAAGTCACCCAATTGGCTTTCATGCCTGAATTGGGACTAGAACTCACTGTCACCAATGATTGGCCCAAAGTCATCCAGCCACCTTTCATGCCTAAGGCGGAACTAGAACTCACAGCCTCCTGGTGATTGGCCCAAAGACACCCAATTGGCTTTCATGCCTGAATTGGGACGAGAACTCACTGTCACCAATGATTGGCCCAAAGTCATCCAGCCACCTTTCATGCCTAAGGCAGAACTAGAACTCACAGCCTCCTGGTGATTGGCCCAAAGTCACCCAGCTGGCTTTCATGTCTAAGGCAGGATTTGAATCCATGGTCTCTTGTCTACCCGGAGATTCCTGGGAGTTGTAGTTCACACCTCTCTAACCCTGCCAAGTTTGGGAAACATGGGATTAACCAAAACACGGCCTCCCTGAGAAGGGAGAATTTACAAATCCAGCATATTTTGCCTCGTAGACATTGAAGGTTAACGCTGAGATCAGTTCAGTTCTGAGGTTTTTTTTTCACTTTCTTGCTTTAAAGCAGGTTTGTAGGTTTTATATTGCTTGCATTCTTTTTTTTTTCTTCCTCTCCTTCTGATATTTGGAAATAAGCCGTGTGCCATTTTTGGTGCCTTCTCCAAATAGCTTTGTAAAATCTTCCAGAACACCTACCTTTCTGAGTGGGTTAAAAAAGGATAAATAAATCACCAACCTACAGAGCAAATTACAAGGCAGGTGCTCAAAAGCAGACATGAGAGGTGCTATTTAAGTTCCTTATTCCAATGTATTATTATTTTTTTCCCTGTATTATTATTATTTTTTCCGGAGGGACAAAGGATAAATATGGCCTTGGAGAACATTTTATTCATAAATAATCTAAGGAGGCGCTGAGTAGATTGACTTAGAAAGGGATTTGCTTTGCCAGGGAGCACAGATATTTAGCAAGGAGGTTGTGACTGAACCAGCAAAAGATCGGATTTCTGTTTGCAGCTGAATTCGATTCCGTGGCTTCCTTGCGGGACTCGACTGGGTTTGTGTGTGCGCAGATGCCCACAAGTCCCATCTTGAGTCGCGGTGGCCGGGAAAGCAGTGGATTCAGCAAAGGGAAAGGGTGGTTCTTACGCTTATCATCAGCTCGGGAAGGGTCCTGGGAGATCATGTAGTCCACCACCACCCCGCCTGCCATACAAACCACGGGTAGGAGGTCCCGGTGGCCCTTGGATTAGCTTCAAGTCAAAACATCGCCTACTCACAATTTGGTCACACCCGCCTTGATGCTTCACTGTTAAAACAAGGAGAGAGCCAAAACAATTGTGTGTCTCAATGCCGGCAACTTTCAGAGGGGTGGACTCGATCTCCCAGAATTCCCTGGGCCAGCCGGGGAATTCTGGGAAGATGGCATCCACCCCTCTGAAAGCTGTCGCGATTGAGAAACTGTAAGTTAGACCCTGCTGTTAGCACCTTGCCTGGAAGTTCGGAAGCCCCAAGTCTTGGAAAGGCGCTCTGCGCATGTTCAGAGGCTCCCTCTTCCCTCCCTTCCTTGCTCCAACACTGAGCTTTAAAACAGTTGAGGATGCCGGACCTCCTTCTCCTGTTCCTGGTTAGGGAAACCCGGACCTCTGAATTCTGCACCCCAAAACTTCCTGAGTGGGCGATGCAGCGAATGCACTCTGCGCATGACCAGAGGCACGGCTGGTGAGAGACTCAGAGAACCAACCACACTTTTGCAGAAAGTCCAGCCAAGTTTTTCTGGGACTCTTGAGCAAGGGGTGGTGTTGCCAGGCTGATTCATATCAGCGGGAGCCTCTTTGGGTTGGGTGTCACCCCAAATTTAGTCTCAGGAAGAACCTGTCCTGCATGGCGGCCCCTCCCTCGTGGTGCAGGCACACCCTGACAGCTCCTGAGATTGGGAACCAGTCTGGATTTGAACCCTTTCCCCGGCGGTGGGACAAGGACACTCTGGAGGTGTCTGGTGGAGTGGAGAACGCCCACCGCCTCTCCCTCTTTCTCCCACCTGCTGAACGTTATTCCAAAGGCATTTTTTAAATTATTTTATTTTTTTACCCTTTTAAAGATATCAACCTGTTGGGTTTTTAATGCTTGAATGCAGGAAGCTGCTCGGAGTTGTTTGCCGTGAGGCAGGCAGGGAATAAATTCAATAACTAACTGACATAATTCTAATAACAATCCACAAATTTATATTGTATTGTAATCTTCTGTTAAATCTATCTGTCAATAGCAATAGCACTTAGATTTTATAGTGCTTTACAGCCCCGTCAAAGCGGTTTACAGAGTCAGCCTCTTGTCCCCCAATAATCTGGGTCCTCATTTTACCCACCTCGGAAGGATGGAAGGCTCTTAGTCCACCTTGAGCTGGGATGGATGGATGGGAGGGAGGGAAGGAAGTAGGGAAGGAAGGAGAGAAGGATGGAAGGAAAGAAGGGAGGAAGGATGGAAGGCTGAGTCCACCTTGAGCCTGGTGGGATTCGAACTGCCAAATTGCAGTAGGAGTAGATTGCAATACTGCACCCGAACCACTGCGCCACCGAGGCTCGATATATCAAGCACTGTAAATATGATTATTAATATATTATTTCTAGTAAAAGGAGTGATATTAAGAATACAGAGATTGACACAAAAATATCATACTGAAATACCAAATAATCAAGAATGATAATTTAACAAAATATGCATATTAATATCAATTTTATTTATTTTATTTTATTATTTTATTTTATTTTATTTATGAAACTTACACGCCACCAACTTGCTGTAATTGTCGAAGAATCCATTG